GCAGGATGCTAGGGTGTTCCTTCGCAGGTGGAGTGTGCCTGGAAGGAGATTATCCGCTGGGCTTAACCCCATCCTGGGGGTGCACTCCAAGCAGATTTCAGTGGGAAGCTGTTCCCTGCTGTCTCTGCTCGGCTGTTCTAACAGGTGGTAGCTTCCCTCCAATGGCTCCATGGGTGCCTTGGGTCTTTGTTTTCATTTGCTGGTGATGCAGCCGACAAGTAATTTCTATTCATCTATCAAGGCCAGCATCAATACATGAAAATATTAGGCTTGTGCGCGTTTGTTTCGGGGAAGGAAAGGGGCCTCCTTCTCTGCAGGTTCACGCTGCCCTTGAGCATCAAGGAAAGGATCAGAGAGCAGGTTTTGCATCTCCTAAGATGGTCTGGCAGTACAGTGCCCTTTAACACCATTCCAGAGGTATGGTGTGTTACCCACTCCCATCTTTCCCTTCTGGAAACCAGGATGCTTCTCAGGGCCAGGGTTTTCAGGTGCCTTCCCTATAACTCAGCCAGGCTGCCCCCGAGCAATTGCCCCAGCTGGAAGGCATCTATCAATTCCTGGTTTTCTAACATGGGCAAGGTTGGCTTGCGGGTGATCCCCCCAAAGAGTGCTGGGTTCCATCTCTCATTAAGCAAGAGCAAACCGCTTCTGGTGCACCAATAATCAGAACACTGCCGTTGCCAGTTTGCCTGCGTTCAGCATATCTCCAAGCAGCCTGTGCTGGTTGCAACATAGATGTGACTTCTAGCAGGAGTGTTGGGCTGTTCCAGGCTTCAGAGGGGAAGCAGAGTGAGTCTGTAACTGGAAAAACTTAAAAAACAACCAATAGTCTAGCGACTAACAAAAGATGTAGATTGGACCATGAGCTTTCATGGGCACAACCCACTTCTCCAGGGTTAGGGTTCCCTGGGTTTGAACTATTAGGGTGGGGGAGAAAGTAGGACAAAGGATGAGGTTGTAGCTTCTGAACTGACGGAGTTGGTAACCCCAGTCAGATTTGATTCCTGGTTTCCAGAAGGGAAAGATGGGAGTGGGTAACACACTATACCTCTGGAATAGTGTTAAAGGCACTGTACTGCCAGACCATCTTAGGAGATGCAAAACCTGCTCTCTGATCCTTTGTAGACACTGAAGACTCCCCAACAATTTGGCTTTTGGGCTACAATAGGGTTGATTTCCCTTGGATCCTGGCAGCACTCCAACTTCACTAACTACATTTCTCCTGGTCATAAAAAAAAAAAAAAAAAAAAACCCTGAAGTTTTATGTGGGCTCCACTGTTTTTCACTTCCTGCCCACGAGGGCTGCGGGAGAGTGTTGTGTGCTGTTAGACTGGTGTTGAGTTCCACACCAGAGGTGGCTGCATTTAAGTGGCGGAGCGAGTGATTCTTGAACGCTTTGTTTGCAAAGTGTGTTAAGAAACGAGCTGGGGTGGCAACATACGCCTGAAGCCATCAACCCTATAGCTGGGAACGTGCCCTGCCAGTTTGATATTGGATGCAGCTTCCATAAGGGAACCGCGGTGTGGTGAGGGGAGCATGGACTTGATGATTTAATAGGCTTTTTCCATCTCTAAGATTAATTAACATCTGCAGAGCATTTTGAAGATGTAAAGTGCTATCTAAGTGCTAAGCGGCTCAAGATCATAAATCATTCGGAGGCTCCATTCAATGCAAAGCAGCTCTGATTAATTTAAAAGGCATATTTATGGCTTTGTTTGGGGAGAATCTCAGAACCCGCACCTTGCAAAGGGTGAAGTCCGGGCCTTGTCTGGACTGCGCCACAACGAGACCTTGGCGACACTCCCTCAGGTGGTGGAGGGTTGATACCATGTTTGGCAGGTGGAGTCCTGGGCATTGTCTGGGATTCTCTGTGTGGGCTGCCTTATTCGCTGTCTCTCATCTTCACCCTTATTGGTCGTCCCAAGTAATCAGTTGATTTCTGGGCTCTGTGGTGCCTCCCTGAACTGAGGGGCGAGCCTTTTGTCCTGGTGGTCTCGGTCCGCCTGCTCCAGAATTCAAATAGTTGGCCTCCACTCCTATCCCTTGGCCCTTTCCTTGGTTGTCCCTCCATATTTAGTTAATCTTCATGGTTCCTCCCCTCTCCTGAGGTGAAGCTGCTGCTCTTGTGATGGAGATCTGTCCCAGCGGCCTACTGGATGGATCTCTTCCCATTCTTCTCACCCCGGAGTTGTCCCAAGTTACCAGTTCCCCCACCTGTCCCTTTGTGGCTCCTCCTTTCCTTTGAGAGAGGCTGATGTCACCTCAATGGGCTTTTCCGTGGAGCGGTGGTGGGATGATAGACTGTGCTAACACTGGGCCTCTGCTCTCTGGGTTTGCGCTCTGGCTTCCAAGCCTCGTTGGACGACAGGGAGTGCACAGGGGAGATCAAAGTGGCCCAACAGGCGGATGTCAGGGCATACTGTACACGGAAAGTTGTGCAGGGAGGGTTGTAGGAGGTGTTAACCTCCCTGTATCAGCCAGCCAGGCACAGAGCTCCCCTGGTACTCCACAGGCAATCAAAGAGACTTGTTGATAGCTCAGTGTCTCTGTGATTTCCTCCCCCACCTTCTGGGAGTCCAGGGCTGCCCCCTTTGAAGATCGACATAATTAGGCTCAGCGCGTGGGAGGAGGAGAGGCTGGCAGATGGTGGGTGGAAAAGCTGCCAAGGGAGCAAACATCGGGAGATAAAAAGAGGGCGAAATTAAAGCATCACAGAAGCGTTTTGCCGGCCATTTAGGCAGCTTCGAACCCAGCTCACACAAGCCCTTGAGTTCCCCTTTTAGGAGCGGTGCCTGAGAGGAGGGTTTAGAATTGATCTAGATTGCGTGTGTTTGCTTCTTTTTCCTCTTGCATTTTTCAGAAGGGAGTTGGTTTATTTTCTTTTTGGGGAGCCTGGTGAGTCTCTCTCACTCGCTCGGCTCTGTTGCAAAGACAAAAACTTTTGTGGGTTGAAAATACAACTGTTCCGCCCCACCCCTAGCTCTTTGTTTGGTTGTGAGGTCAGTCTGACTCTCTTATCCAGGGACTGGAGGAAGAAAAAGTCCCCAATTCTTTTGTTTTCTCTCCCAGACTCCCCAGTGCAAGGAGTTTGCCAGATCTCAGGTCTTTGGCAAGGACCGAAGCCCTGGCATGTCAAAAAGACAAGGCAATTGGAACCAATATCCTTTCATCTTTTCATCTTCCCTCACTCTGTTTTCTGCTCACGTTGTTGGCCTTTGGCTGCCGTGTTTACAGAGCACAGAAGCATGGAAATGACAAGCTGGAAAGGGCCTAGAGAAATCATCAAGTCCGGCCCCTTTTGCGGAGGGAGGACCAAGTCAAACCTAAACCATCCCTGACAAGCGATGGTCTCATGTGTTCTCAAAAACCTCCAGTGGTGGTGTTCCACAACCTCCCCGGGAGCCTATTCCAGAACTTTCTGATCATAAAGTTTTTCCTGAGAGCTAACCTAAATCTGGGTTGCTGTAGATTAAACCCATCACTTCTTGCCCTACCCTCAGGAGGCATGAAGAACAATTGATCACCCTGTCATCGACAGGCTCTATAGAACAGCCTTTCATGTATTTGAAGACTATTGTCAGGTTCCTGTCCTGCTTCAGTCACCTTTTCTCAAGGTGAAACATGCCTGGTTTTTTTAAGCTCTCGGTTGGTCCACAGCTTTCCTAAAACACAACACCCAGAATTGGAAATTGTGCTCCAGATGAGGCCCCACCAGGGAGCTGAGAATTTGGGTGGTGACCTGGGACAGGGAGTCAGAGAGAGGGAGGGGCTGGGGTGACAGAGGCAGGTTTCCCTAGGTGGCTCCTGGCCAGCAGCCCTGCAGGACTCTGAAGCATGCTCCCTTCTTGCCTCAGCCTCAGGTTGCTCAAAATGGCTGACTGCTCTCTGTGGCTGTCTGCTCTGGGTGCTGGGGGAGGAGGGGTTTCTATTGGCCGGTTTCCAAGCTGAGAGATTTTGCTGGGGGGCCAGGACAGCGTGCAAAGCCTCCTCTCCACCCAGCATCGAGAGATTTTGCTGGGGGGCCAGGACAGCGTGCAAAGCCTCTTCTCCACCCAGCATCCAGAGCAGAGAACCAAAAGGAGCAGCCAGCCACTTAAAGTGGCATGGGCCTGCTCTAAAGTGACTGGCTGCTCTATGCCTGAGGGTCCTGGCGGGGTGGCCCGTAGGCTGGCTGAAGGGGCTGGGCAGGCCAGTTCTGGCCTGTGTGCTGTATCTTGCCTGCCCCTGTGCTGGGGGGAAAAAAGAAGTGGAGCAGCCCAGCAACCTGTTGAAGTTGGCACTCCGGCAATCCAGCCTGCTTGCCCAGCCATGGAGCCTAGGCTCTGCTCTTTGGCTCAGTCCATCCCCCTATCCAACTTCCTTTTAGACCCTGGTTCATATGGCGAAACTTGATTCCTACTTAGCCCTCCCCATACCAATTATATTACTAACATTTTACTAACCAGCCCTACGCACTGTGAGAGAGTTATCTAACCAATCACACCCTGCCACCTCATGTGCTTTACACCTAGCAAAATTAATTACATAGCAGACAGAAACAATTCAAAACCAGACCGAGATCACACAGGCAAACAAGAGAAAAGTGGAAACCATAATGATAGAACAATAAAGAAATGAAGATTTCACGACCTCAGCTATTGTTAAGTAGTTTCTTGCCAGACAAAATGCTATCAAACGAACGTTTATTTTTAAAGAGATCTTTCTTTAGCTGGTGATATTGGGCATCCTTAGGACAGGGTCTCCTTAACAGTCTGATATTACACTAGTTTAATGTAATTTATAGGGATTGTGAGGATGTGACTTCCTGTGATTTAGCTAATGGCTGCTGCGCTTTCAATCTAGTTGCAGATGAAGGTCGTAAACATTTGGCCTTCCAGTGTGGCTACAGGCCTTCCAATATGGCTACAGCAAAAGGCCTTATTCCAGTCTGTGTAAGGCAACTGCAGTTTGCTCTTCAGATGCTCTTTCTTTGGGTGACCTGTCTTCCTTTGTTCCTGCAGATACCCCAGATAAGCTACGCTTCCACTGCCCCCGACCTGAGTGACAACAGCCGGTACGACTTCTTCTCTCGCGTCGTGCCCTCTGACACCTACCAGGCCCAAGCCATGGTGGACATTGTCAAGGAGCTCAAGTGGAATTACGTCTCCACCTTAGCCTCTGAAGGAAGCTACGGCGAGAGCGGGGTGGAGGCCTTCATCCAGAAGTGCAGAGAGGACGGTGAGTGCACTTCCCTGCTGAGATAGGGGACTGCGGGGGTGACATGGTGTCTGGGAGCGAAAGACCCGCTGGCTCTCTTTGGGCGAGGTGCATTATGGGTCATGGTTCCTGGAGCTGCATGGGTATAGCTGAATCAGTGAGGTCTTAAGCTTAGATGGCAGAGTCTTCCACTTGGAAGCTGAAGGCCACAGGTTCTATGGCCCACCTCTAGTATCTCTCCCTCGCCGATCCGGCCCCACTGCTCCTTGCATCGAGCAGGCGAGGAAGGGCCCCTCTCTGACTAGCTAGCATCGAAAGTGGTGATGACTAGAGAGGAAAGGGCCGGTCTGATGAAGCATCTTGGGTGTTATTCGCACTTGTCCTCCATTGGGACGTGCTACATGAGCCAGCACCCTGCTTCGTGCTGTGTTGCCAGCAGGGCTGAACTGGGAAGCCCCCGTCGGCATGCGGGAGATGGTGATGGCTCCGGGAGCGTTGCAGATTCCCAGGGCTCACTGGTGACAGTGGAGGTGAGGCGGTTCCCCTATTCAAAAGCCGCCTTTGGGGGACATGTGGGGGAACTCTGACCACAAGGGCAGTAACGCGGTTAAGCTGATACAATTCAGCCTCAGTCTTGATCCACCCTGGGGGGCCCTAAGGCATGGTGCATGCCCCAGATGTGATGGACAGATACTAGTGCTTGGCACAGCGTGTGTGAAGGCTGAAGGGAGCAACCAGCATGGAAAGGGACTAGAACCTCTAGCTGAGATGAGGTCTGCAATGGGGTGAGGAAATGTATGTAGAAGGGGGCGGGTCCTGATGCCTTTGCTTGTTCTGATTTTGGTCCACTTGGAGTTTCACCTCAACAAGTGTTTGGGGATTTGG